TGAACTGCTGGGAACGATGAACACCAGCACTGCACTGCATGTACCAATTCTCCCAGAGGCACTTGAATAGACTGGATCAACTAAAACCAAAAAGCAAAACACTTTTTTTTTTCAGATTGCTGGAGTATAACCGAGTATATAACTGAAATATTTCAGCAAGCCTCTCTGTGAAGAAGTGCAAAGCACACCTTGAAAGCTTCTGAGCTATTCTAGTCACTTGGGATCAGAGGGGGAATCAGCAATGGTTGGGAAGTCTACTCATAAATTCGAGAGAAATGAACCAAACAAAGATTGGAACAAAAAATAACTGAATGTTTTTCAGACGTCTTAAAAAGCAGACCATCAAATTTCCCAGAGTGATTCATCCATCTCACTACTATCTAGTTAGTCCCTGCTGCCAAATACAGGAAGCTAATTCTTCTGTGAAGGTGTGAGGTTTTGGAGAATATTATTTTGAAGTTGATATCATTCAGGCTGAAAGAAAGATACAAAATAAAGACAATTTCTCCTCCTTCCCAAGATCATAATGCATATAATCAAGTTCTTTACTCTGGATTGAAAAAGTTAATTTAATTGCAGAATAGTAGGTAACAGTGAGGTAACAACCTCAAAATGTCGAAGTATAACACATTTGAGTAAAACGTATGGATTCATCTACACATTAGATAGCAATTTCAACTCTAGTGTGATACCTGGATCCCTTCTTTCTGCTGTTTCTTGAGCCTACGTGTCACACATTCTAAAACATTCTGCAAGACGTTCTGTACGCTGCGGAAAAGATTTGCCACTTCATCTGTCTCAGTATTCAGAGTTAAAGAAGCTTCAATAATTTCTTTTAGAATACACAGTAACACTGGAGCACAAAATCCACCTCTCCCTAGAGAAAGAAATACCACAATATAAACATTGCAATGTGATATTCTTCAGGCACAAACTTAGAATGAAATTCAGTTAGATACAACAAATAGTGATTGTTTACAAGTGTAGATAACATACTTAGTTTCTGAGGATTCATGGCCGAAATCTTCATACACTTCAATTAATATTTTAAGGATGAATTCAGTGTTCCCTCCAGTCCTTGAAGGTTAGGGATTAAAACTGGTAATATAATAGTCAGCTAAGTGTAGATGAAGATGGTATTAGTACAGAAGGTCGTACCTGTTTGTATAATTGGAAGAGCCATTTCTAAATGGTATGCCTGAAACGAGACGTCGCCGAGGCCAACCATTATGATGTCTTTACACACTGTCAGGTAGGCCTAGAAGGGAGATGCAAAATTACATGAAATCCCAAATTTATATAAAGTAACCATTCAGTAAAACCTAAAAATAATAAAACCATGAGCTCTTAGCCAAGTTGCTCTGAAAGCTGTTGTATCTACCTGGAGCAACTTAGTTCACACCTATTGAAAAGCAGGAATTCCAACCAGTTCTCCAAATGTTTCCACTGCCCTTTCCTCCAGTAAACACAGTCTCTCAAAGGCAGTAAATCCTCTGGGTTTTTTACTCAGGCTCAGAACAGAGGATTGATACTTAACATTAATTGATACTGTTCCGTTTACTAGAACATTTACAACTCTACCTGTCTTGAATAGCAAAATTAAAACCAGCACACAAAAAGAGCTTTTCCTTACAGACACGCAGGTGTTACACACTAAACAGATTAAGACACAAATGTATAGGCAGAGTAAAGAACTTTTAACCAGTCTGTGTGTATGTGAACTGGATTGTTTAAGGACCCTGGGACTAAATGAGCCAAATCTTTCGTTTCACCAACATCTGAAAGGACCCATAACTCAATGCTAAAATGCAGCCTGGATTAAGTGATATGTCAGAGGAATGTAACAGAAAACAATTCAAAACTTGTCTTCTTGATTTCCAGACAAGTCACATCAGTCTTTGCAACTCTGGAAACAGTGATGCAAATGAACTTCTAGATCTACTAGTGCAGATCACTGTGTTTCATTATTGGCTAGCCAAGCAACGTGTCAGATGGGTTTACAGGTGACCAACTGCCTATCTTATTGCTTATCAAAAAAGTTTTGGTTTTATTTTGTATTCAAAACCTGGGAAATTGATCATAAACATTCTGATAATGCCAGCAAAGATTCCCTATTTTGTGTCCTGTCTTTCTGTAGCAGTGAGTTCTGTACCTCCAGACTTTTAAAGCAGTAGAATGAAGCATACTAAATTGCTCAGGGTATAATTTTCATTATTTCATTTGGGAAATCAGGAAGGAAAGAAAGGAAAGAAGAAAGGAAGCAAACACAGAATCGTTTAGGTTATAAAAGGCCTCTATGGGGCATGAGAGACTGAAGACAAGAATTACTTGTTAGCAACCTAAAATTTGGGACACGCAGGTTACAGCAACTGATAAGCTAGAAATTTCTTGAGTGGGCATTTACATGAGTGGGAATCAAACATGTTCCACCCTCACTTCAACAGATATGATGAGAATATATGTTATGCACTGCTAGATGAAGAAAAGGTCTACATAAGAACAAGGTATTGCTGACTCCAGCTACTTGATTTAATAGCTAGGATATGCAAAATTTCATAAAGTATATTATAACTAAACTCAAAGAAATAGCAAAAGCACAAAACTGTAACCTCAGAACAGCTAGGACTGTGTTTCATTAGCTCATTCACTTGCTGGGCTCCAAAAATGCTGGTGACCTGTTTGTCAGCACACAGATTGCTACATATAAAGCTTTCAGATTGGCAACAGATTGATTTATGTTATAAGAATCATCTAACCTGGACAATTAATTCAGAAACAACATTGTGTTTTGGAATATCATCCTCTTGACCATGTGCTAGTATAAAAGGTACAACTTGACTTTGTATCCAAGCACCAGTTTCCTTCAGATGTGAGAGGTAGTCTTCTCCTTCTTCAGAGAACTGGGGGAAAAAAAAACCCAAAAAAGAAGTTCACCAGTTGTCGTTCCAGTTCTTTTGGAATTTCCTTATACTGTCAGCTGTAACTCCAGCTTATACTGAAAAGCCATAACATACCTTGTGCTGGAGATGAATAGTCAACCTGCAAAAGAGGCTGAAGGCTCTTAGGCTAGTTGCTTGATTGCAGCTACTAGAATCTGCATCAGTTCCTTTCAGGATTGAGCCAAGGACCTGCTGAAATATCAAGGTTTACATTTATACTTTTCAGAAAATCCTTTCAAATGTTTTTTTTTTATCACCTTTAAAGAAAAGATGAAAAACCAAAATTTTTTAAAAAACCACAAAGAACAAAACACCGTACCCCAAAAAGCAACATGCATTCTTTTAACTACTTCTATTTTGCAATGCCATAACTGCTTTTCAGACTATTCCTTATACATATATTCCAAAAGTCAGGTCCCTTGCAAACACTCAACAGTAGATCACAAAAATTTTTAGACACCTAAAACTGACAAACTGGTTAAAATCTGCCAGCTACGAATGATTCTGAGACACTATACTTCTAGTTTAGAATATTTGTTAGATGTAGAAATCAGAAGTAAAACCCTTTTACAGAAGGAGAATGAATTTTATTATTTGTTCTTGCAGGCCTTTAACTTGACTCAGATAATATAAGATGTTGAGCACTATTTTATAAGCACTATTTCTGGTAGAGAAAATATTACCTTTGCAGCACTGAGAATCTTCAAAAGCTCCTCCAGTTTCTTTTTAGGAACAGAAAGCAGGTAACCACGATTAACAGGATGAGTCAATAAATACTCAATGTAATCAATTGCTAATTCAGGTTTTGATTCCTGTGTTACGTGGATACGCACTCGTCGCCTGGATGGATGTGTGTTCTAAATAAGAAGGAAGCACAAAACCAGGACAACACTGTTAGTAGCTGACTTTGCAACTAACTCCAAAGCACAATAATATTTCAAGAATTTTACTCTATTAAAAAAATTACTCAGGATGCCTGTATGTAATCTGGCAATTCCTTAATTCTCTCACATAGGTATAAGCACCTTTCTTGGGGTTAGTGTGTCAGACAACCAGTCACAGGCTAGTTCCAGAATTTGCCCCACTCGGCCCCAGCAACACATGCAGTCGATCAGGGTAGAATATTTGCTTTGGTCAGCTCCACTGTCAATGTTTCTGAGTTTGGAAATCACACCACAGCTTAAAAGAAAACAAACAAACAGAGATGCATTAGCTTTACATCTGTAAGTGCAGAAAAATCCAAAGAAAATCAATCAGTATAATACAAAAAAGGATTCACCAATGGCTCAGATATACCTGCGTATCTCAAATTCTACCAAGTTATCATATTTTTTTAGTGGATTAGTTTATCTGAATGGGCATTTAATACATTAAGTTGTGAAAAAATAGCAAATATAGTCAACAAGAAATTTCTTGCCATTCATATTTTGGATTTCAAAATAGTACCTGAATGTAGGAACAGCAGCAGGGGGCATAAATGATGCCAGAATAACCAACGGAGTCGTGCAACGCTCATCCTAGGATAAAAAAAGTACACTGTAAGATGCACATGTACAGGTCCACACATGCACACAGAGCTAAACAGAGTACGAGAAAACTAGGATTAAATCATCTCAATTAAAGATATCTCCGTTTTCACTAGAAATTGAATTGAAAGAAGCTCATAACCATATGTGGCTTGCAGTAAAGATATCTCCGTTTTCACTAGAAATGGAATTGAAAGAAGCTCATAACAATATGTGGCTTGCAATCTGAAACATCTGATTCCTATTCTCAAAGGTCGGTTATCAGTTCCCTTATCATTCAGCTTCCTGACAAACTGGCAGAACAACTACTGTGAACAATTATGGCTCCCTTAGATTAGTAACCATTGCAAAAGAACTAACAGCTCTACCTTACACTTTTTCCAGTAATGGCTAATGTTTAATTGCACAATCATGACACCATCTAACCCTTCTCAGGTAACCAGGACCTTAAATGAATATTCACTGCCATCACAAATTTATTAAAAGGACTCTAAAGGAAAGGGCTCTTACAGAACATTGGTAATGTTCAGTGCACTATTATTCATTACAACACATCACAGTACATGGTCTAGGCCACAATATAATCTCACTCATGTTATATGGAAACCAATCTATATGAAAGACTTCAAACTGGTATATTTGTATATCCAAGCTTCATGAAAACAGTCAAATGAAGTTATTACATACTTAGACACTCCAAGACCTGAAACCTTTTTAAAGCTTATGTTTTTAAAAGAACATTTAAAATATATTTGTAGCTTTTTCAGGAAAGAGACAGGCTGCTTCACTCTGGAGTCTTTTAGAAACTAAGCTTCTGATGACAGGTCTTTTTAGATCCAAGCTGCTTACTCACTGCAAGAATATGAAAGTCAAAGAACTTGCTTGCTAAAGCTGGTTATCTTGTCTGCCCTCCAGAACCTTTAAGGAGGGGTGTTACATCCTCTACCAAAAAAAGATTTGGAATGTCTTTGACAACTTCCAAATGCTTTCAGGGTAGAGAGAGCATTGGATATATCTGTGATGCAGAATATTACATAGCAACAAACTGCTTTTCACTCCCTGATTGTCTAAAGCAAAGTTGCAGTATAACAGCCAAGAAAACTCAGTATACTTCAGCATAAAAACCATCAACTAAACACCAGACATCCAGCAGAGAATCCTTCCAAATGCACTGCAGGTGCAGTAGACACCCTCAGCCACTCTCATGACAGCTTCTCCTTAAGAAAAACACCAGTACAATTAAACATATCAAGGAGGCTGAAAATTTGAAAATGACAGATTTTAATTAATTGCCTAATCAAACCCAAAAAATAAATAAGTGCATTAACAGATCATTACAGAGCAGATTCAAATTAGCAGAAACCACAGAGTCATAGAATGGTTTGGCTTGGAAGGGACCTTAAAGATCAGGACCACCTTCCACTAGAACAGGTTGCTCCAGGCAAGGGATGGGGAATCCATGACTTCTCTGGGCAACCTCTGCCAGTGCCTCACCACTCTTACAGTAAAGGATTTCTCCCTAATAGTTAATCTAAACCTATTCTCCTTCACTTTGAAGCCATCCCCCCTTGTTCTATCACTACATGCCCTTGCAAAACATCCTTAACACTTGGCAGGCTCCCTTCAGATACTGGAAGGCTGCAAATGGTCACCCCAGAGCCTTCTCTCCGGGCTGAACAATCCCAACTCTCTCAGCCTTTCCTTGTACAAGTGGTGCTCCAGCCCTTCCAATCATCTTGGTGGCCTCCTCTGGGCTCAGTCCAACAGGTCAGTGTCCTTCCTGTGCTGAGGACCCCAGAGCTGGATGAGCTGGGGTCTCACCAGAGCAGAGCAGGGCAGCAGAATCCCCTCCCATACCCTGCTGGTCACATTGCCTGTGATGCTGCCCAGGACATGGCTGGATTTCTGGGCTGCAAGTGCACATTGCTGGCTCATGTCCAGTTAAAAAGGAGCCTAAACTGCTTCAGTTGTCAGTTCCAGCAGCTAAATCAGAAGAAGTGGTGGTGGTAGAAGAGTTTGGGGAGCAGGTGGTAGAAAAACCTGTGGACTCTCATGTACACTGAGTATTTATTCTGCAATAGCACTTTTAGCACAACTAACTGCAATAGTTACTGTTTTCCAGAAGTTCTAAAACACTCAAAACAATAGAATCCTACATTACATTACAAAGAAAGCAATTCATTGCATTAAGTATTTCTGTGTTGACTATTCTGATAATGGAGAGCAGTTTCTACCCATTTAAGGAATTCCAAGAAAATTGCTGTTGTTTATGGTTTATAGCAACAATGAAAAATAATACTTCGTGCCATAAAAATTGATGAAAGACATACAACATTAAAGTATCTGAAGAAAACACTAAGAAAATACAGGAAAACCTTTCTTTACCTTAAATACTTCAAAATATTCAGGAAGTACAGAAGCAAATTTCTTGATAGCATAATCTTTGGCATTTTCATTGTGATCTAGTGCTCTGCGGATACTTCTCCAGAGAATCACAGTAATCTCCAAAAGACTTGCCATGCTGGTCACATCATGTATTGACAACACCTGAAATACAAACCCTCAGGTGCTATTACCTGTTATATTCTCAAATGTAAATTAAAGTGAAAATAAGGTTTAAAAAATGCTCTGAAAATCCTTCTATTCATTTTACAAATGCATTGTGGTTGCTGTAGAAGATGAACTCCACAATTTTGTCTTACTGTCTCTATATAACTCGACTCATCTTGCAACAGTAACTTTTAAAATAATTGCAAAATCAAACCAATTTATAATTAGCACTGGAATTAGGGAACTATAAATTTAAAATACATTTCATATTCCTTCTATCTTATTCTACCAACTTCACCAAATTTCTGAAAACACACTATGTTCTCCCGTTCTAATTCCACTGATACCCAAGAACTTTCCTTTAGATTTCTGTCATAACCTATCATTAACTGCCAATGTCTCAAATTAAGCACCACAGAAAAAAAGTTACCAGATCTTAGCATAAAGTGGACTTTCTTACACTTACATTCTCCTTTTCACATTCATCATCATCATCACTGTCAGCAAAACTCTCCTTCACTGCTTTCTGTATGCAGGCGTTCAAGCAGCGCCGAATAATGTGCATCAATTTAGCTACATTGAAATAGAGTTAGAATGAATTAGACATCTACTATTTTTTGAGAATGTTGCTAATAAATGCTTCTGATTAGAATGCTGGAAAGACAGTCTGAAAAAGCAGACAAGAGAAGCAGAAATAACTAGGGAAAAAAAAAGAGAAAATTTCCTAGTAAAAGAAATGGGAATAAAATGAGCATGTGTTATATCAAGTATGAAGAAGAAATGAAAACATTTTCATCAGGTTCTATGATTTTACTGTTAAAAAAGCATACTAAAAGAACCTCAAAAAACAACTACCACCTTATCAAATCAGGATCAGAGGAAGCTCCCACAACTCCTACATTCCTCTGGTATAGCTGTTCATGTGCTGAGCAATGTTCAAGAACACATCCTCTCCTATGTCCATTCCCATCACTTGTAAACCATGGAGTCACCCAAGCACTGTGCTCCTGAACCAGGAGCTCTGCCCTAGATAAACTGAAAGGGTTGTGCCCACTCTGCTGAAAGTACAACCAGCTGACAAACACCAGCACCTGGGATTCCCTAACCACCTGACCAAGGTAATCAGTCAAAAGGCAATGCCTTGGGCATTTTGCCCAAGTCACTCCATGCTGATTACTTGGTTTTTATCAGAACTCCTCTTCTTTCCTTGGTTCAGTAGTACTTTTCTAAACAGCAGCAATTTTCTGTGCAGGACATGCCCTGTTCACTGAAACCTTCTGAAGCTCTTAACAGGAAGGAAGGCTTTTTAGAATTTTCCTGAGCAACTTGAAAATAGCAATCCACAAATCCCAGATAATCAGATTACCAGACATAAATAATTTTCAGCTTCTATAGAATCTTTCACATGGACATCTCAAATCACTTAAGGCACCAGGGTATTTTGTTCTCCTATTTCTACATGATAAATAGATATCAACTGAGACAGTTTTAAGGTTTGTGTGAGGAGAAAGGGAAACAGAGGGACCAGAT